TGGTTATGGTTAACATGCAAGTTTATGTAGGTAAATGCAAGCATGAAACATGTAAGGAAAAAGGCAGAAGAAAGACGATACTATAAACTGTAAAAGCGTACCTCACGAGTCTTCTTGTTCCACCACCTGAAACTTAAAAATGCATGTGAGGGCATTTATGAAGAGCAGGAAAAGTAGAGTTCTGGGGGGTTTTCCTAACTCTATGTTTCATTTTGGTGAGTCCTTAAAAGTTTATTTAAGGATGATTTCATTGAGCAAAGCATATTAAGTTTAATAGGCTTCTGAGGTATCCAACAAGTTAAGGGGGGGAAGCAGGTCCATGCCTCTCTCTCACCAACTAGTGAAAAGCCTCGAGTCCATTTAAACTCATTATGTTGCTTAATAGTTCATCACATGAATACACTTATTACTCAGTGAACATTGATGTCTCAATTATCCCTAAGAAAGGGGTAATTATCATTTGTCATTCAATTTAAGAATTATGTGGGTGAAGACCTTTAAAGTCAAGTTAGTGTAATTTGAATAACTTAGCCAAATTTTAATCCTAATTGGGATTAGTGGAATTTCAAGGAAGTTTGATTTAGTTATGTTTATTTCTCTAATCCTCATTTAGTCAATTTTAATTTAGCCTAAGTCGCCACTAAGCCCTTAAGACCTAGGTGAGTGTCTTAATTAGTTTTGAAAAGGGTTAAGCTTTAAGTGGTCATGATTCATGATTTGGATTCTATTTGAAAATCAAGATAGGGGTATTAAATTGATTAATTATTGACTTCAAAAGTCATACCCCTAATTCTACGATCATTTAATTTTATTAAGCTTCCAAATTTTGATGCCAAATTTTGATTAAATTAGAAATTTTATCAATCTTAATTGAGAAAGTGAGGCGTGATGTGCACATAAAATATAATTTTATTAATTATTTGTATACTATAATTTAAATGTCACTTACTGTTTTATTGGCATTTTTTCCCTCCTTGACTTAAGCCAAAGTGTTAATTAAGGCTAAATTTCCAAAATTACACATTCGCCCCTAAGGCTCTAATACTTCATAATTTGTCATACTTCATAATTTGTCAAATGAAATTTTTATCCTACCTCATTC